ATCAATCAAACCCCAAATTATAGGCAGCATGCGGATCAACAATGCTGAGTTATTTCCTGTCGAATTTCCCCAGCAATGCATTTTACGCCGTCCTCTTCTGCCACGAGAGGGGTTGGGGGGTGAGCGGGAGGGGGAATGAGAGGAAAATTAGATTAACTTTCTCCAGCTCCAGCCATCAATATTCTTGATTAAATTCTGTTCCTACAACCCAGCTCGCTCCCCTGAAAGGGATGGGACGGGAACTGCAAGCTGGGGTGTGTGCCAGGGGTAACTGTGACCCTGGCTTTCTGTGGATGCTCATGTCATGATCTGGGACTATCACTTATCAAACTTTTTTTGTTCCAATTACTTGAATGATCTTATTTTGTTCTCATATCATCTCTGAAAGAAGACCACCGTTCCCATTTTTCGGATGAAGACATTTTGTCTTCTTAGGGTTAGACTAATTGGTAGGTGTCACGTGGAGATTGTGTGGTTAAGTGAGGCATGTTTGTGAACATAGGCATGTCTGGCTGCAAAGGCCCACAAGGGTCCCTGGGTGGCATCATGCTGTTGCAACCTGACCCTTATTCTGTGGTGAAGTAGGAGACAGTATGATATGGGGCAGAGAATGGGAAAAATGTTCTAATTCTGTCTCTGCCACGTGTGATTGGGTGACCTTAGAAAAGTCCTTTCACTGCTCTGCTCCCCTATTTGTAAAACAGGGCAGTAATAAAAGTTCACTGTAAAGGTTGAATGAGTGATTGTTCTGCACTAAAATGTAAGCTTCTAGGATGTTGGCTGTTTTGTTCAATATCATTTCCCCAGTACCTAGAACAATGCAGGGAAAGAGTTGCAGGTCAATAAAAGTTGGTTGACTGGATGGATATATGGATGGATGGATGGATGGATGGATGGATGGATGGATGGATGGATAGATGGATGGATGGACGGATGGATGGATAGATGTAAATGCTAGGCATAGTGGCTGGATCACAGTAAGTACTGGACAAAGGGAGGCTCTCTCCCCTGTCCCTGTTCCTACAGTGCCATGCAGAACCTAGAAGAGGAGGGGCGGGTACTCTGAGGTAGAGTTTCCACCTTGGTGCTGTCCACAGCACATACTCAGAGCCAAGTGCTGATGTTTCTTTAGGTCCCTGGGCCAGGAACTACTCTTAAAAAGTCCCACTGTGAAGTCTCTGCCAGGTCCTGTTGCCATGGAAACTCTCCAGTCCCCGTGGCTGCTCCCACTGTCGTCTGGCCTGAGTGGAGACTTCACCTGCATGCTTTCTTCTCCTCGGACTTCAGAGCCAGCTGTGGTGGCTCAGGCGTTCACCAAGCAAGTGCTGCCCCAGGACGCAGTTTATTTTCATCTTGTCTCCCACTCCCTCTTCCGATAACACTCCCTTTGCTCGCCATTCTTTTTTGTCTTCCGTTTCTGTAAAGAACGAATCAGTTCCTAGGATGTTCTGGTTACATGTTGGACAAAGAGGTAGATGAGCCCTGTTTCTTCCATCAGTGAGGAGGTGAATACCATCGTATGGCTTGGAAACGGTCATTTACCAGCGCCTCCATGTGCCAGACACTGTGTGAGGCATTTGACATCTGCTGTCTCATTTAGTTCTTACAAGGTTCCTGAAGGAGATGCCATTGTATTCCTGATGTTTAGATGAGAAAACAGGGGACCATTAAGCTGATGTGACTTCCCTCACCACCCCGTTGACTCTTAACGAACCTGGATTCCAGTGAAGGTTTAAATGACATGGGAGATACAATTAACCCCGCACGGGTCCAGGGAGACAGTATGAGCAACTCCACGCCTGCCCCTCAGCTCTTCCTGCTTCAGGAATCAGCCTGTGGACGCCACATGGTTGGTTGATTAGTGAAAAGGAATGTCTTGACCACACCCATGTCTGTGGCTGTGTTGACCAGGTCCCAGAGATGCCTTCTCAGAGATGCTGTTGGCCATCCAGGGCATCCACCTCGCCAATACCAGGGGCTTCTCACTACCTCTCACCCTCTGTCTGACCTGGCTTACCTCCCGAGAATTTGTTCATGCTGGACCCATCCCAATATCTTCTTCCCCTCAGAACCAATTCCATAGAATGTAAAGTAAAAACTCCATGCTGCTCATGTTGTTATTTGGCGATTTTGTTAACTAGCTAGGCTCAGGGTAATATGTTGACATTTTATGGAAAGACTTGTGCAAGCTACCAACCCCTAATCTATACTCTACAGGAGAAAACATTGATGTTAGCTTGCTATGCTACCTAGTTAGTAAATGTTTATATTGTGAGAGTTTGAAATAGTTTCTCATGGCTCCCAGATGAGAGATAAAATGTGTTTCCACCCATCTGGTGTGGCTCAGTGGCTGAGCATCAACCTATGAACGAGGAGGTCACAGTTCAATTCCCGGTCAGGGCACATGCCTGGGTTGGAGCTGACCAATGTTGATGTTTCTTTCTCATTGAAAGTTTCTATCCCTTTCTCCCTCTCCCTTCCTCTCTTCAAAAAAAATCAATAAAAATAAATTTTTATAAAAAGTGTTTCCTTTTTTTGTGGTCATTTTAGGTTTAGGGATTCTTCATCTCACCAGAAACATCTGTTTTATTTCATCTGCTATTTCACTTGATAAATATAATGGCCACAAATATAAGAACAGTCTGTACTATCAGTTATGCATTGTCCTAGGACTGGCAGTAAAGATAAGGATCCTATTCTCAAATGAAACAACTTTTAGGTTCCAGTCCATGAGGTTAGAACGAGAGACATCAAGAAGGTGAAGAGAGGATCCCTTCTCTCAAGCATCTCGCTGTTCATTAAGAAAAACAGATTTCTTACAAAAACTCCCAAAGTGAACTGTCACATGGGCCCTTGTTCCTTCAGGGCCCATCAGCCTGGCATTGTTGGCTATTTTGGGCATGGTTTTTTGATTGGTCAGCCCCTGTGTCTGGTTACTCATACCGTTACTGTTGTTCCTGGAAAGGATTATGCATTTACTGAGATTCTACCATATGCCAGACACTGCACTAGGCATTGGATGACAGTAGTGAGCAAAATACACTGCCCTCAAGGAGTTTACATCCAGTTACTAGACTAGTGCAGCGGTTCTCAACCCCTTTGGCCGTCGAACGACCCTTTCACAGGGGTCGCCTAAGACCATCCTGCATATCATATATTTACATTATGATTCATAACAGTAGCAACATTACAGTTATGCAGTAGCAATGAAAATAATTTTATGGTTGGGTCACAACATGAGGAACTGTATTTAAAGGGCCAGAAGGTTGAGAACCACTGCCTAGTGTTTGAGTAAGATATTTTGGGTAACACATCAAATGCAGTTTGTTTAAACAGAGAGGAATTGGTATGTACCAGTCATCTCAGTGAGTGATGGGGTGCAAGGAAGCAAGTGGAATTTTATGCAAAAGAAAGCATGTCTGTGCTAATAGTGGCAGGATGGAGAGTGCTGATTGCGGTGGCACCGTAGTATTGCAGCTCCGCCAGCACCCGGGCCAGGTCAGGGAGGGCAACAGGAGGTGTGAGTGTGAGGATCTGTCCTGAAAGGTTTCAGATGCCGGGCTGAGGAGCATGGGGTCCCTCCTGTAGCCAGATGCTGTGGAGAAGCTCAAGGGGTTCCAGCAGGGAATGTCATGGGAATATGTGCCTACACCTCCCTCCTCCCACAAGCAACACCCAATAGAAGAGGTGAGGGGAAAGAGGGGGAAATGCTAAGGACATAGGATAAATAAGACTGCATGGCTGTTTAGATGCTGTAAGGGAGGAAGACGGGAGACCAAAAGGTGACATCTAGGTTTCTGAGCAGTGTAAATGGTGGTATTTCAATAGTTGGAGAGCCCAGGAAGAGGAGGAGGAGGAGGAGGAGGAGGAGGCGGCGGCTTTCAGGAAAAGATAATGTGTGCAGCTTTGAACGTGTTCTGTTTGTCATGCTCATAGGACATGCATAGAGAGATGTCCAGGAGATTTGGGCATAAAGGTTTGCTCCAAAGAACAGCCCCATGGGTAATAGAAATTTGAGAGGCGTTGCTCTAAAAAATGGTAAATCAAACCTGGAAAATAGATATGAATAGCAAAGCCTACAGAATGAGACACAGTGAGGGCTCGGGACATAATCCATGGGTTTTCTTTGCTGGCCCAGTGGTCTCCTTGCCATGCAGATCCAATCTACTCATTCTGGTGCATCCGTGAAATTGTCTTTAATTTTCCCAGGCAAAACTCCCCTCCCCGTCCTACTCCCTGTCTGTTAGCTCTTAACACAACTCGCCTTGAATTCTAATTGGCTGCAGTTAAGCCTCCCTTTGCCCAGCCGATAAGTTCCCAAATAAAAGGAACTATTCTTATTCTGCTGAGTGTTTCTCACATGGTAGGTGATCAGTAAAGGCCTGTGAAAATGAGAAGAACTGATCAGCTTCTGACAGTTTCTAAAAGTGAAATCTTTTTAGGTAACAGACATGATAAGTACATGCTGTCATGTAATCATGACAACAAACTTGTGAGTTGTGTATTATTACCTTCCTCCTACATATAAGAAAACCAGAGTTCAGAGATGAAGCAGGTCCCACAGCCAACGTGAGCTAAAGTTCAAATCTGAACCCATGACTGTCAAACTCCAAAGTCCACACTCATTCCACTCGGCCTTATGAATTCAACATCACAGAATCTTCTCACTGGCCCCCAAAGACAGTGGACAGTTTAACATCACATCATCTAATTATTATCAAGAATGACCAACCTAAATGGGAGTGGAGGAGTGGAGAACTGCCATGATTTTCAGGAAGCTTTATTGTTTTTTGTCTTTACCAAAAAGAATAATAAGCCCATGTTCAGAGAGTTAAGCCCAAATGAGGGGCCACTGAGACGCCATTGCAAACACAGAATTTGGAAAATACGGTTGCTTTTTCCAGCTCCCCTTTTGGATATTAACAAGGTTTCCACCCTCAGCGCTATGCCCATTTCCTCGCCTCAGAGACTTAGGTGTCTGTGTGTCTTTGTGCCACTAGGTTTGCTGAAAAGCCCAGTGAACAGGACGGCACTGACGCTGATCGCCGTGAGTTCCTGCATCCTGGCCATGGTGTGTGGCACTCAGATGTCCTGTCCACTCACAGTGAAGGTGACCCTGCACGTGCCCGAGCACTTCATTGCAGACGGTAAGAGCTGAGCATCAAAGACGCTTCATATGTACCAGGCACCTTGCGCCCCTGGCTGGTCAAATAATCCTCCACGCATGGCTCCACCTTAGAATTACATCACAGAGGAAAGGGGGCATTCAAAGGCTTTGGAAGAGGTCCTTATCCTTTAGAATCCTGGGCTATTTGAATACAACTAAACACTCCATTTATGCCACAGGCAAGGATATGGTTCCTTAAATAGAGAATTTCAGCCCTGGCCAGGTTTGCTCAGTGGTTAGAACATTGGGTTCAATTCCTGGTCAAAGTCATGTACCTTGGTTGCAGGCTCAATTCCTGGCCCCAGTCAGGGCATGTGTGACAGGCAACCAATCAGTGTGTCTCTCTCACATCAATGTTCCTTCTCTTTCTCTAAAACAAATTAATGGAGAAAAATATCCCTGGGTGAGGATTAAAAAAAAAAATTCCAATTCCAATGTGAGTGCAGAAAGATTGAGCTATATCAGATAACCCATGGCTGGTTATCATGCTTGTGGGTCCTATTCCAAACTAAAAATGCCCCCCTCCCTGCAAAATCTTATTTAGTAATTTAAAAATATGACAGAAGCCTGTACAAGCTTGGTTGGAATTTCCTGAAGAATACTCTTATCTCATTCCCTATAAATGTACTTTATAAGTATCTTATATCCTACCATTTACACTTCACTCAATTAATTTGAATTAATGAGACATTGTAGTCAGTATAATCATTTACAAAGCATGGTCCAAGGAACTGATTTAGGTGCTTGATATCTATTGCTAAAGTGCCCTCCAGAAAGTTGTTCTGTGTTACACTCTCCAAACCCTGGTTCTCACTTGACATTGCCTTTTTCAAATACATTGAAGTTTGTCATGAATGCAATAAAGAAGGCATCTCAACTATGCAGCTAAATGACATTTTACACAGGAGTCCACCCAGATCAAACCAAGAAACAAGTCCAGCACCTCAGCTTTTTTATGCTCCTTCCCAATCCAGGCCCTTCCCTAAGGGGACGACCATATTGGTACCTTTTATGTTTTAAAAAAATCTTTTCCCATTGGATATATATTGCATGCTTTTGAGATTCTGGCCCTTTATTTGTCAGCCTTGCCTCAGTGTAACTCAATTTCATCTCCAGTTTTAAGTGAAAGGGTTTAGAACATGACACCAATTCCTTCAGTATTTTCTGTTCATAGTGGAACTTTCACCTCCTTTCTCTGAAACACCCAGACTTCTAATAATACATCCTATGTTTGCTCTCACTTTACCTTGGTGAATGAACCCCTACTCGATTTTCCTTTAAAATACAAATAAGTTCAGTATTTCTCATATTGTATATATTCAGTTTCTGGCTTAAAGACATTTGGTTTATGCCTATCAAATTAGAGGCAAACTTTGACCTACTGATTTTTCCAATCTCATTGTTTAGCACTCTTATGCTAAGGTCACTATTGATGGCATGTGACCATGCGTTTTACCCTCATTCTTCACTGTAGAATGCCTTGGAGACGTTTATATTTTCAACATTAATTTTCACGCATGTATAAATGAGAATCTTAAGAGGCTAAGTAACATGATCAAGGCTGTGGCAAATAGTTTAGTAACTAAGAGCAGAGACTGTAGAATAATACAAACATGAATTCAAATACTCGTTCTGTTGCCTACCACTTATATAAAGTGAATGGCTTACTGCTTTAAGATGGACCATGGACGAGGTAGCTTTCTCCTTTCTCACCTGCCCCCATGAACCTGTAGCTGCAGAGCTGCCAGCCCAGTCTTAGTAGAGAGCACTCAGCCCGCCTTGTGAGCTGTCCGTGGTGCTGAAATATTGGATGGGGCTGAGTATTGGGTCTGGTGTTCAGGAAGAAAATGAATTCTGCCATTCTGCCCTTGTGCTACAACGTCGTTATACTTGATACTTACTGCCCATTATAGGGAAAGGTCAGCACGATATAGCACTTGTCCAGAGCCCAGCTGGCAAGAACAATAAATACACAGCCCCATCCAAGCCCTTGGCAGATAGCACCCCTTCCTTTGTCTGAGCCTTCTCAAGGCCACTAGTGGCTTTTTGCCCTGCTAAGCACATACTGAAGAGGTGGCCTGGGTTTGCATCCAAACTTACTGAATGCAGCACTGTTTTTTTCAGCTGTAGCCTATAAATCATCTGTATTTGGTTCATTTGGGGCCAGTGATCCCCAGAATACTGAATCATATTCTCTAGGAGTGGAGCCCGAGTATTAATGTTTACAGTGAGAACTTTAGGTGTTCCCTTAACAGAAGTTTGAGAGCTGTATCAATATCTCTGTGTTACTTTTCTTCTATCTAATAGATGTAATAACTCCTTGAGACCCTTTGCAGCCCTGGTAAGGGGCTTTGGTTTCTTCCATCTTTGATTTTATCAATGTCATATTAATGGAGCTGCCTCGTGGCACAACTCCAGTGGTTGCTCATAGCACTGAATATAATGTGAATGATCCACTATGAGTTTTACAATAAAGCAGCCCTGATCACAGCGTTTTGGGCTTCGTCCAAATTGCCATGCAGGTAGCATTATTAATGAATGGTAGTTGGTTAATATTAAAAACTCCTGTTAGTTTGTGCATCCCTTGAGGCTCCCAATGTAAGTCAGGATATAGTCACCCAATATTCTGGCCAGTGGAAGAGACAGCTTTGAAAGGAGTACATTTTCTAGGTTAAGTGGGTGAGATGTTTCCATGCTAATGCAGACAGATAACACAACAACTATAGTTCCCTGTTCTGTTCTCTTCAGTTCTGGGAGTTGTGCTTTGAGACGATGAATGATGTATTTGAAGTTATCCAAAGGAGAGGATTGTAGTCAAGGTATTGGAAAAACTTTGTAGATATCCAGTGACCTCTTAAGGAAAAGGTAGAATAGAATCATTCTGTAAGAGTTGAAGGAACCTAGACAAAAATAAACTTAATACTATTGAGCATGTCTGTTATAAACACTGCACTTTTCAAAATACTTTACATGAAGTGACTTCTTCAGTTCTCAAAGCAGAAATGTGAGGCAGGGCTTAGCATCTTTATTTTGCACACATGTGATTGTGTCAGATTAACACACACAAGTGAAGCAATTGTCTGAAAGCCCAAGTGAACCTGACCCCTGATCCAAGACCCTCCCATGCCCCACACTTCCACAAAAATTACCATGGAAATTATATCTGTCTTGAAAAGAGTTCGGTTTTTTCTGGAAGTCCCTAGGAAGCAAAATTAGAACTCTATAGGTGATGCGGGTGGTCAGAGATGGGAGAAGATTTAACCTTAGTCTGAAAATATCTTTACTTTCTCAGCTTCTGCCTCATTGTCTATACTGTAGGGATAATAGCAGTACTTATCTTATAGAGTTATTGTGATGAATAAATGAAATAATGCCCGTAAAGCTTTTAGCTCAGTACCTGAGACCTAGCAATGGCTCAATAAATCGAATAAATGTTAGTCGTTGTGATAATATTTTTTTAATATTGGAAGGGGGTCATTGCAAGGTAATGAGTTCCCCGTCATAGAGAATTTCTTGAGAATAGATGACCGCATTTCTAGGAAGCTATAGAAGAAAAGCGAAGGCATGCATTTGGCTTGGGCACATGGTATTTTGATTCAGAGCCATTTTATCTGGATATAAGCTTTAAAAACACTTAATTTTCAGGACTTGCAGACTGTTTATTCTTTACTATCTCTTCCATGAGTGTCATCATCCTTTGCCTAAACTCAGAAATGGAGTGAGACTCAGGAATGGGTGTAGATCAGGGATGTCTCTTGCATACTTTATTTGGCTAAACCACACACACACACACACACACACACACACACACACACACACTCTGTGACATGTGGGTTGTTGTTGGTTTTTTTTATGTTGATATTCCTATTGCATCAAAATATCCATGCCAAAAGGTCTGTTTTTTAAGGTCAAGTTAAATTGTTAGCATCATGTTCGGAGTTTTAGTAAGTTGATATTCAAGTCTTCTCTGTTTCCTATGACTGAGGAATTAGAGTCTAAAGGTTCCTTGCCAGCCTAAGAAATGTTCATCTTTAGATGACCTTGTTTATTTATATGCCACACATGTAGCTGCTTTTGAACACAGAAGTGTATGTAATGAATCTTGGTCTACATTTATTTGCTTCCACCCCTAATTCATGCCTTTCAGCCAGGAGAGTGAGCTAATCTGAAGCTCTGTGTCTTTAATGCAGAATGAGGTTCCTAATTGACTTCAGGGCTAGTTTGCAGTGATTTTCAACTCTTAGAGGGGAAAATCCCACCAACCAGAGGTGGCTGCTGAGCCACACACTGCCAAGCAACTTGTCTAAAACGAATATTTCCTCGGACAATTTGCGCTCTGGAATAATCTTGGGCTTCATTTTATTATTTTTTTAATATTTCACTTACAGGTGACATTTAATGTTATGTTATATTAGTTTTAGGTGAAAAGCATCATGGTTAGATAACGATGTAATTTACCAAGTGATCCCCCTTATCATTCAGGTACGCACCTGACACTACACTGTTATTATAGTATTAGTGGCTATATTCCCTATACTGTACCCCCCATTCCTAGGTTGATGGCAGACCTTTGGGCAACATGGACCATGTTCAGGTGTACAAGTGCTCTACAGCATGGCCTCTGCCTTTTTGGCCCATTACTCCTTCACACATACTTAATGCTGGCTACACAAGGCCTTACCTTGTATCTGCCTCTCGATATCAGGAAAACCCTTCCTAATTTCCAGATATTGGAACTTACCCATCTCTGCGTCCTCCTCACTTAATTATCTCTGTCCTCCAGAAAAAAAACCCAAAACTTCTTCAAAGAAAACCCCAGTCAGAAATAATTTCTTCTAGGCAAGTTTGAAAGTTACATAGAACTGTATTTCTACCTTTCTAATGATCCCATCGTCTACCTCCTGTCTCGTTATTGTTATGTCTGTGTCATTGAACAATTTCCGTATTCCTAAGAACTGTTCCCCTGCATTAAATCTTGCT